TTTAGGCACTTCTTTGCTTCTTGTCATTTTGTGAAACTTCATAGGAATTAACGAAAGCTTTTTCAGGGCAGTATCGCCAAACAATATTTTATGTATACTAGTTGAAGTAATGTCTGTACGAGTTTAAATCTTAGAGTATGACTACTATATTACGTTACCAATTTTTGCAAAATATCAATGCATTCTAACATAACTATTAATTTTGGACAACTTTCAAGAATTTCGTTCGTGGAGAAACAGATGGCGACGTCGACAGCATTTCTCAGTTGCAATGGATAGTTCATCGATGCAATGCACTTATGATCAACACTTATAGTTATCAATGCTCACAATATAGTTGGTGAACGTCTCATCTAATGCAAACCTCGTTTTGTTATAAACCTTTCAACTAAAGATATTTTCAAATTTTCTCCTCAATTATGGAAAATATTTAGAACAGTTGCACCAATGTTATTTATTTTATTGTAGATATTACATATTAAAAATAATTCTGTACCAATTGATTCTGAAATGATTACTATTACTGTTAAGCTATTCAAGTTCTTAAATTTAGGTAATAAAGTGACATCTTCACAAAGTACCTTAGGTTTACATTCAGTGTGTAAAGTGTCCGGAATTATTAAATGAAATAGAAATATTCATCAATCAATTATAATTTATATGTCACCATTCGAGTGCAATATAACTATATTAGTATTCGATCCAATTTTGTGTACATTTTTGTCGTCTAGATTTTAATTTTTTTAGGAAAGTTTTTTTTTTATAGCCGCAAACGTCTTTAATGCCTTTCTCAAAGTGGTCATTTTAGCTTTAAGTACAGACAAAAATCACAAAGTACCATGTCAGGAGGTACAGTGCTTTGTCCAATTATATTTGTTCAGTTTTTTGGCAGAACTCTTGCAGAAACGCCTTGTGCGATCGCAGTACATTCAAAAGTTAATTTAATGTAAACATATACAGTAATAAAACGTATTTAGATCTATTTAAATTAGAAAAAATATTATTATGAAGTTATATTTAAAGCACACTTTTTGAAATTACTAATTCTGGATACTTTTTTCTAGAATGTATAATGCTAAGCACATAACTTCAACTTGATTATTTTCAAACAATAATTTTTAAAAAGGCAGTTACCACTTAAATGTACCAAATATTTAGTTACTATTGAACTCAATATATATTTTAGGAATATATTTAATACTTAGTTGTATTGATATGGAATGTGACACTGCGTCGGGTCTATTGTGCCCCCTTCTGGGTTGAGAGTATGTCTCTATGTATGTCTCTGCCCTGTTGCTTCGATAAACAGTGATATTAAATCTACTTTACAGAGTTGTATTACCGCTTCCGTAGGAGTATACATTCGCAGGAGTCTATACCGAATGTGCATAGTTTCTTGTATTGCATTACTATATCTATACTCCTACATATAAATAAAGTGACGGAATTTCCTCTTTTTCATTAGCAATTAATCACGAGTTTTATTCAACTATTTTTCTTTTGCTAATCTCTTCAAATACTTTAAATAAGCAAATGTATGTATATCTTTTATTCTCGTTTACAAATGATCAATCATGATTTAAACTTATAAGCTGTTTAATGAATTATTCAGTGAGTACGCATGGAAAAACTACATCAGAAATATTTTATTTTCATCAATAAATAAAAATAAATAAAAATAAATAAAAATACATCAACCGCTACAGTCTTTTATTAAATATTATTTACGAGTATGTGTCGAGCATATAAATTTCGCAATAATCCATTTCAGTGCAACTGAAAGCAATTTATCAGCGATTATTAAATATTTAAGTACGGGGGTTTTTCGGTTGTACGAGTATTTTGTGCTCTCCTTTAGTTAGCTGAAGTGTTTACTTAAGTTTTGCATAATTTTTTGTTGGCTTAGAGTTTGCTGTGCCTTTGACTGAATAGCTATTGTTGAAATACAAACCTTTTGTATGAGAAAATTGTGTACATAAAATCCATTTATGAATAAAAAATCATTTTAACGGTTTGGCACAAAAGCCTCAGAACTGTCAATTTCTAAACACGAATTTAATGTTACACTTTTGCGAAAATGAAAGTAACGCTGATGCGAAAAATTTGGCATAAATTTTGCACACACAATCATCTCCAATAATTCCATTCAATTTATCAATAATTTATGTAAATATATATAATAACATTATTGGAATTACAATAATTTTAAGCAGCTGATTTAGCGATTAACAGATTTTTGACTTAAATTATTATATTATATTATATATATTTCCAAGTGGTTTAAAGGGTTTGCATCATAAGTTCAAACTTTACAACAAAAAAATTTTTAAATACTATTACTTTGTTAATAATATTTTAGCAATAATATTAATTTATTTTTTATGTATTATATTTTTATTCATACTTTTATTCATTAGTTTATTTATTATTTCTATAGATACATATTAATCTCTGATATTGTAATGATAATGGCAATAATATACACATATACATATTTAAATTAAAATATTTTTGATTATATAAATAAATAAAGCAACAAACTCAAAAAAACAAAAAAAATAAAATGCATAATAATTTTATTTATTTTTATTAAAAAACAAAAAAAAACACTAAAAATAAGTAATGTTGCTTTATGGTATTTAGATAATGCACATGGGTCATTATTTTACAAGCGGAACGGCTTTTGACCTCAACATCTGCGATTTTGATGCAATTTTTTTATCAGCAAATTTTTTAAAATACAAATACCTATACTTAAGGAAAAATTTTCATTTTGCTTCCTAAGAGATAAGAGCAGATTGGCGATATCTCGACCTCTAAATGATAGGGACTTACAATTTTTTGCATTGTAATGAATCATTGTAATGATAATTGATTAAATATGTTAAAATGGTTCAAAAAATGAAAGTATTTATGGACGGATTCGAATAGCAAAGAAAAGACAAGAACAAAATTTATTGAAATTTGGCTGATCTTACAACGCTGTTGCGAGTATTGCCAAGTTCTTATCATCAGTGGTCTTATAGTCAATATATAATTTGTTTGGGGTGCGAGTGCCAGGTTTAGAGTTCGTGCCTGTCAAATTAAAAGCGTTGACTCATCGTATTTTTTACAAGTAGCCAAGGCTGCACAAACTTTCTATGCTCTAGTTCCAGATTTATAGTTCACTTTTTACTTTTTAAGTGATACTAAGTAAGGTACTTGCCGTGCTTTTAATTAGAAAGAGCTTAGAAACTACAGCTTTATTTGGAAACACAAGTTGAACGAATTGAAAGTTAATTTTTCAAGTTGCCTTCTTTTGTTTCAAAACTATTTTTCTAGTTTTGGATGTTAATTTTCTTCTCGGCAAGCAAAAATTAACATTGAAAGTATTTATATTTGCTTAATAAAATTAACTAAATTAAGAAATTATAAAATATTTAATAATTCTTAATAATTAAGAAAATAATTTGTTTTTTCTGTCTAAAGGTACCCCTCAATTATGAAAGAGTAAAGTGTTAAAAGATACTAATTGTTGTCTCTAAACAACATAAATAATACAATGTTTGTATGTTTCTATTTATTGATATACTAATTGTTTTATTTACTCAAAAAAAAAACATATTTCAAATTTTGAATAAGAATTAACGATATTTATCTGATAGATGGCATTTGTGGTAGATGGAAAAAAACTAGCTTTCTGTTAACTTTTTACTTGGATTTCAAATAAATCCCATAAACACCAATCTGTATCAATGATGAATACATAAAATATTTCTTGATTGATAAAGAAAGTTAATATTGATTCTAATGCTTCTCATAATATTTGATATTTAAAATGTATGTGAACATTT